TTTTTTTTTTTATCTTTCCTGACGGTGCTCGATAAATTGCTATGCTTTTCTTACACCGATGTATTTTTCATTGTTCCTACAAATTATTTACTCATTTTATTGCAATTTTTAGGTGTTGACGCTCTCGATCTCATCAAATGATTTATTTTTGGCTGTTGGAATGGGCAATCTGTTAGAGTTTTCGATGCGCGATGGGCCAGGGGGCGAAGCAGAGGATTCGAAAAAAACATATGCTTCCAAGAAAACAGGGATGGAAACACTCATGCAGTATGCTTTTTTCTTTCTTGCTAATACTTAAAATAGTTGATTTAGCTTTAGTTCCAGGTCTTATTTTTCGGCTGTACAAATGACAGCTTTTATAATACTTTCTTTATATGTGGTACCCGAAGCGACTACTGACACTACTTGCATATGCTGTCTTTCTTTAGTTGAAATGTACAATTTTTGAATAATAAAAAAAATCATTCATTTATACGACTGCAGGATGGAAGAAATTGCTCCGGTCGAACAACATCTTCGTGGAGGAACCGTGCAGCAAGTCGGGCTCACTGCCCCACCTGTACCTCAGGTTTCCCACTTTTTTAAAATTATTTCCTAAGAAAGTATATTTGGGCTTTGCCTGCAGATGCACAATTCCTAATTCACAGGAATTATTGAAATTGATAATTCTATATAAGGGTTTTGCAAAACCGTCCGCTGGAATTTACGTCAAGGTGAATTCCGAATATTGTTGTCTCCCAGTGCCTGATATGGCTAGTCCAGATTCTTGCCCCGACCCCTATGTACTGAGTTTGCGTTTTTCAGTTCTGTTTTCTTTCGAGAGGTGCTTTGTAGTTACGATGTATTGCTGACGTGAATTTTCTACTTTAGCAAAGCAAGCAGAATTACTTTTCATTAGATTTTACTTCCGGCTTATTAATGACATCCTGTAGGTCTCTTATCCGTTGAAATTTAGTACAGTCAGGTAATTCCTCGATTATAATTAGTGTATGGTCGTGAAGGGTGGTGTATTGATCTACTGCAAACTCTGCACTTTCGAAGGCTTTTTCAAGCTTCTTCATTGAGGAAAAACAGACAGAGATAGGGTTGGTACTTCTTTATAAGCTGCAGCTTGTTTAGAGTGAAAATATGGCCTTCGTTATGTCTTAATTATTTCCTGAACTCGCTCCTTGGCATTTTTGGTGCAGTAATTTAGTGCACACCTATATGATATTCGTATTTTAGATGCGATAATCATTTTCATGGTAATCGTACTTTAGATGCGACTAAACAAGGTTGATTTGTTCCTCCGCCGATTCAAGCATTGGAAGGTTGTTGACATGCTTTTCCGTGATCGATACTATCGGTCACGCCCGGATATCGTTGTTAGTGCTTTAAATGAGGTGAGTCCTTCATTTTTTTCTGAAATCCTGTTTTTTTTTTTTGCATAATTTCAACGACAAAAGTAATTATTTCGTTAAATTCAAGCATTCTTTGTTTCTTATACTTCGTGAAGGATTTAGGTACTCGGCTGGAGTGCGTATAACAATTTGGCATAATAATCATTAACTTGCTATTGGCATCTCCCATCTCGTCCGGAATTTTGCTTGAAAGTCATGCGGATTTTGATTCATTTCCTTAGCAATGCCTACTTGAAAAAATTAACTGTCTCCTTCTTTACCACTGTTTTATATCCGAAACGCTCTCTAATGGTATAGCCGAAAGCTGTGCCATCGGCTTCGGTTTTGGACTTTCCGCATCTGTAGTACTGCAAAAGGAAGAATCGGCTTATACGAGCACGAATGGGGTTGGCGGCTAATCCTCTCCTCTTTGCCTTGGTTGCCTCTTCGCACCCATGTAACATACGAATGCCCCACCGCCTTCTGACTGGAGCCCTCTCCCTCCCCTTTGGTACAAGAGAATGATATAATTGAAAATGAAGTCAGTGTATCAGCAAGAGTGGCGTGGCAGCAGCAGTGGACTGCTGTCAGTCGAGTCCCTTCTTATTTGCATCTATTAAGTGGCGGCAATTTGATGCTGCTGCCGGCTAGATTCCGTAGTACTTAACATCGTTCTCATCCAGTTACATTTTTTAAAATATTCTTTTTATTTAGATGTGAGATCGGCCCACATACGCATATGCTGCACACACACGCACACTTACATACATACATACATACATACATACATACA